CCGCCCACCCGCCCCCCCCCCCCCCTCGGGGCCGGTACCAGGGAGGGGAACAAACCCGGCTCAGCCCAGACAGTCACCGGGGATTTGGGTTTCCCACTGAGCCTGCAGCAAAGTGGGGCTGGAGGAGACCTGCCCCTGGATGGAGGGGATGTGGATCTTGGGGGAGTGATTTCTGTCCTAGCCCAGGAATTGCTGCCCTCAAAGAGTAACCTGGGGCCAGACACTGTCCTGGGGTGTCTCCCCTCCCCCTGTAGCTCTCTGCCTGTGGGCCCAGGGCTCGGCTGCAGCCAGGCAGTGGCTGGGGGGTTCTTCTGCCTTGGCTGTGACCCAGCAAGGACTCTCCTAGCCTGGCCACATCCTCATTCACATGAGCTCAGGGGCGGGGCTGTGGCTCCCCCATCTCAGGCTGTCCTGTGGGGAGCAGGCCCCGTGGGGCGGGGGGAGGGGCTGTCAGTCACAGGGGGTCTGACTGGTGATGCTTCTCCCCACAGCCAGGCCGTCGGCCCCGTCTGTGTCCGGCCCCCCCAGCAGGGCAGAGCCGGGCACCCCAGTGACTTTCACCTGCACGTCTGGAGGATTCTCCCCCAGAGACATCACTGTTACCTGGCTCAAAAATGGGGCCCCACTGCCGGTCCCCCAGCCCCGGGTTCTCCCCGAACACGAGAGCGTCTCCTACAGCGTGTCCAGCACCGTGGGGCTGAGCCTGAGTGCAGGAGACGTCCGCTCCCAGCTCACCTGTCAGATAGAGCACAGCGCCTTAGCGGCTCCCCTGCTTGGGACGTACGACCTCAGCCACGCCCTGCGAGGTAGGAGCCCAGCCGGGGCTGACCTCTGGGGGCTCTGCCACTGGGCGGGGGAAGGGCACCGGAGACAGATCTGTTGCCCTCTGGGTGCGTTTTGGTCCCAGCTAAGTCTGGTGGTTTTTACAGAATTGCCTTGCCAGGCCCCTCCCCCCATCTGAGAGTGGAGCTCTCCCCTGGGCAGCAAGGGGCAGGGCCAGGGGACTCATTTACCAGCTACCACAGGCTCCAGGAGGGGCCCAGGGCCACCTGGATCCTGGTCACCCACCTGCCGGCCAATGGGGAGGGATAGTTCCTGTTTTGGGGGGGATGCTTAGAGATCCTCAGAGGGGAGGTGCTGTGGACGGGCCAAGTGTCATCACTGTGCACAGGCAACCCCTGCCCATGTGGGACAGCTCTGGAGAGGGCCCTGCCCAGCAAGGGGCAATGGGGCCTCTGGGACAGGGGAGAGGATGCCCAGATACGTGCCTGGCAGGATTGGTGGGATGAGCCCGGCTTAAGGAAGAGATTCCAGTCAGATCTGAAGATGCTCCAGGCAGGGCCCTGGGGCCAGGTGGGACGTGGGCGCGGCGGGAAGGTCGATCGGCCCAGCCCTGCAATTTCCCTCCAGCCCCGCAGGAGAAGGGGAATTTCAGGCGATGCCGAGCGCAGGGTGTTTGTGTGTTGTCAGTTCCACCCAGGCTGCGAGTGGGCTCTGACCCGGCGGGGTGCATCACACGGAACGAGTCTGTGACGTTCACCTGCCGCGCGGAGGGGTTCTACCCGCAGGGGGCCAGTCTCACCTGGCTGGAGAACGGAAATGAGACGGATCTGGGGAAACCCTCCCGCCTGACGGAGAATCCAAACGGGACGTTCACGTTGCAGAGCTCCCTGGAGGTCAGAGCAACCGAGCAGAGGAGCCAGTCTGCATTCACCTGTCGGGCTGTGCACGATTCCCAGCCCCCCGTCAGTGCCAGCGCGATGTTGAGAGTCTCCCTGACACCTACAGAGCCTGGTAAATATCCCGCTTCATCTGATGCAGGTAAACGTGGAGCTGGCGCCTCCCCTGCTCCTGCTAGGAAACGCCGGGTCTCCCCTGCGGAGCCCAGGGGCCATTTCACCCAGCCCCCCAGTGCAGCTCCTCAGGGTACCGGTGCCTCTTAGTCCAGGGGTCTAGCTCTGCTCTCCGGGGCGAGGGGAAGGGCAGAAAATGTCCCTGTGGCCGCTCTCTGTGCCCAGGGCTGATACTCCCTGGAGCGTGTGAATGTCCCATGGAGGGGAACTCAGACCTGGTCCCTCTGCAGAGCTGGTGCCCCAAGGACTCCCCCAGCTCAGGGATGTCGTGATTTGAGGCTCTCAGATAAAAGTGCAGGAGGCTCCTGAGCCCTTGTCCTCCTGCTCTGCAAAGCCCGAGGGCTCCACGCCAGAGTCCAGGCTCCCTGGGGCTAGGCCACAGCCTGAGAGGGGGGGGGGTGTGTGTGTGTGTGTGTGTGTGTGTGTGTGTGTGGGGCTGCCAGGCAGAGCACGGGGCCTGGGAGGGGGGGGGGTGTGTGTGTGTGTGTGTGTGTGTGTGTGTGTGTGGGGCTGCCAGGCAGAGCTGCACAAACTGCAGAGGCCATTAACAAGCGGCTGTTCCCAGGGGAGAACTCGCCCAGCCCATGGAAGGTGCCTGGCGTTAGGGCGGGATGGCCGGGAACCAGCAGGGCTCTTGGCCGTGGGAGGGTCCTGCCCCAGAGCCTGTTCTCCAGCCCGGCTCTCTGGATTGGGCTCCTCCTGGAGAAGATGCTGACTGGAGCCTTCCTCCTCTTCCTCTTCCTGAGGGGTAAGGAGTAACCAGGGAAATGCAGCGTCTCTGTGAGTTGCTCTGGGGCGTTAGAAAGGAACCAGAGAGAACTGCACTTAATGCTGCAGCCCAGGAGCAGAGCAGGAAGGTTCAAACCTCACAGGGAGTCGGTGTTGCTGGAGGTCTCTGGGGCTGCTCATAGGACATAGACCTGTCCTCCCTGTCCCAGGCTGGCCCAGATCACTAGTGACCTGGTGGGTTTCCCAGTCCTGTTCCTAGATGCCAAAATGTCCCTGTGACGGCGCGTTGGGGTTTTCCCTTCTCCTGCACCCCCGTAGTGGCACGAACAGAGTCCACCAGCCAGTAGAATAGAGGGAGTTTATTGCTTCTCCAGGATACAGCACAGCACAGATGGGACCTACAATCCCAGCCCCCTCCCTAGCTCGTTCTCCCCTGCTTCCGAGACCGAAACTAAAAACCGTCTCTTCCAGCCCTGCCCCCCAGCCAGGGGCGGCATTCCACCTTCCTTTGTTCCTCTTCCTGGGTGGTAACTGGTAGAACAGGTTCCCTTCCTGTCCCATCAGCTACTCGGTTGGTCCGCGGTACAGACAGCAGCTGCTGGGGGTCACCCACAGCCCAAGCCTATCAACCAGCAAGATACCCACACTATGTCACAGTCCCATCACCAGTGTACCATGTGACCAGGCACTAACTGCTGCCCTTACCAGGCATCAGAGGCCCTGAGGATTAGGCACAAGGGGGCAATGAATCACTCTGCCCTGGGGAGTGGGTGCTGCTGGTTTGGGGGGGGAGGGCTCAATGGAGAACTGGCAGGGCTGGCCAGCTGCTGGGAATCCTGCCCTGGGGTATTCCACCCCCCCTCACTCCAGAACGAGAGTCCCACTCCTGTCCAAGGACCAGGCATTGCTGGCCCCTGGCTCTGTCCTGTGCCGGGTTTGTACAGAGGGATCGAACCAGCCATTCAGGGTACCAGCTAGGTTCCTTAGTTCACGGGGTCTCAAGTCATGGTCTGAACCTCAGTTGGTCTGCAGCTGCCTTCCAGGTGGACTCCAGCTTGAGGCTCAGCGCCGCATCCCCAGCTGGGAGCCCGATGGACATTCCTTTATGAGACTCCAGCACCGGCTTCCCCAGCTTGCGGGGGGGAGCAGAGTGTGGGCTGGGGATGCAGGCTCTTGGCAGGAGGGGTCCATGAGGGGGATGAAGGTGCAGGATCTGGGTGTAAAGGAGATGACCTCCCTACCCCCCCTGCTCCCATTGGCTGCAATTCCCATTGGCTGGGATTCCAGCCAATGGGAGCAGCGGTGAAGCCTCCTGGGAACAGGGGAGGAGGAGGAGCAGCGCAGGGGGAAGCCGGTGCTTGTTCTCCCATCTTGCTGGGGGTACCGTGCAGGCTGCCAGGTGCAGGGGAGTTGGAAGCTGAGCCTGGAGCAGCAGCCCCCCTGCAAGGGGTCACAGAGCAATAGAGCCCCATAGACTCCAGTTTGAGAACCACTGGCCTAAGGGCAGGGTCACTGCCGACCCTCCTCACTCCCCTGTTGGATTCTTTCCTTTGCAGCCCCTGGTCTGTTCCCCGATGTTCTCGCGCCCTCCCCGCCTGCCAACCGCTCTGTCTGCAGCCTCTGCCCCCAACCTGAAGACCAGTCCCCATATAGTGGAGCTGCAGCGCCCCCTGCTGGCCTGTCCCATGGAGCCCAGGCTTAACAAACAAAGGTTAAGGGGAGATCAGGTTCCAGTCTGCAAGTACCGACATGGCCTGGGGAACAAAGGTTTAATAACAGGATCGTCAGACTTGCCAGTACCAGGGTGATGCCCCGTCTGTGTCTGGACCTGGAAACCAGCCAAATTCAGCCTGGAAATGAGGCCGAAATGTTCCTGGGGAGAGGAACTAACCGGGGGCCGTTTGCCAAGGGCCGTGGTGGATGCTCCGTCAGTGACGCTGTTTCAGCCCAGGCTGGATGTTTCTCTGAAGGAGCCGCTGTCGGGATTGTCCAGGCAGGTCTCTGGCCTGTGCTGCAGGGAGGGTCAGATCAGAGGAGCAGAACGGCCCCTCTGGCCTGGGAAGCTGAGTCTCTGATGGGCGCACCCACCGCTCACTGCCCTCCTGAGGGCACAGCCTCTGGGAGGACCCCGCCTGGGCTCCCTGCCCCCTCTCGCCCTCCCCTCTGTGCTGTCTGACCTGCCCTTTCCTTCAGAGAACCAAACAATATATACCCCAGGGAGTAATGTCGAAATAATAAGTGGAGCGACCGCACTGACTAGCCTGTATTAAAATAAGGGGATTTCTTTTTCAAAATCTGTCCTGCTTTCCTTGGGGAGAACTCTTATTTCAAAATAGTTAAATCGTGATTTCGAAGTCGTGTTCGTGTGGACGCGCCGCCACTGCTATTTCAGAATAACGACTCCCCAGGGCAATTGGAGCTAATGACTCCCCAGTGCTTCCTGGGGCTGTAAGTGGCGGTAGCGCGTCCACATGCACAGAGCCTGCCTCAGACTCCTGTTGAGGCTTCCCCACAGTGGGAACAGGCTAGTTCCATTTAGTTATTTTGAAATAATTTCCCAGTGTAGCCTTGGGCTGATCTGCCCCAAGCCGCTGGCCTGTCCCACCTCAGGGAAATGCACAGAGAAGGGGACCAATCTGCGGGCCCCTGGGCACAGTGTGAGGGGTCCCCATCTCCACCCCTTGCTCACACTCTTCTTGTCTCGGTGGGGTACCAGCGTCGACACAAAGATCAATTTGTGGTGTCTAAGCAGACGCAATAAATCGACAGCCAGTGGATCGATCGCTGCAGCATCAACACATGTCGCAGTATAGACAAGGCCTAGGCACACTACAGACGGACAGAATTCCTCCTGGTTAGGGCTTTTTGTTCTTCCCCTCCTGCTTCAAGTCTCAAACTTAGCTAACAGGAGGATTTCAGTCCTCTGTCTCTTATTCATGGGTTATAGCGATCAGCAAAGCCCTTTGCCCTTGGATGGGTCTCGGTATTTTGTCAACTGTCGATGGACCTGTGCAGTTGAGCTGCACATGACACCTGCTTTTGGATATTGGTATTTCACTAATTACTGCTTAGCTCCTGCCTGCTGATTTGCATAATTATCGAAGCTTCCAATGGGAATGCGCCACTCTTACTAGTCACTCTGGGCTGCAGCTGTTATAAATGAGACAGACCCAGACAGTAAAATTTAAACAGGAAGCAAGTTTGTATAATTTAGATCTTTCGTGTAACAATACCAACACCAGGGCTGCATCTAGACTGGCATGATTTTGCGCAAATACATTTAACAGAAAAGTTTTTCCATTAAAAGTATTTGTGCAAGAGAGCGTCTATACTGGCATGTGCCTTTGCGCAAAAGATTTGCTTTTGTGCAAAAGCATCCGTGCCAGTGTAGACGCTCTCTTGCGCAAGAAAGCTCCTATGTCCATTTTAGCCATCGGGCTTTCTTGAGCAAGAAATTAACGTTGCTGTCTATACTGGCCCTCTTGCACAAGAATACTTGCACAAGAGGGCTTATCCCTGAGCGGGAGCATCGGAGTATTAGCGCAAGAACCAGTGATTTTGTACATTACAAAGTCAGTGTTTTTGGGCAAATACTTACGGCCACTGTAGACAGGCGGCAAGGTTTTGCACAAAAGCATGCCAGTCTAGACGAAGCCAAGGTGAAACAGCCTGGCTCCCTTTTGGGCTTGGCCAGTGTTCAGTGGAGGCAGGGGGCCCTTGGCATCTGGTTTGCTGGCATTACAGCCCCGTGAACATGACCCCTTCCCCCGAGTGCAGTGTGGGTCACTGAATGGGGATGTAGAGGCTCCTGTGTTCTCCTTGGTCTTTGGTGCTGTCACTGCTCATTGTTACTCGTGTTATTCATAAGTTCCCTCTTAAAGCTGTTCCCTACTCCAATCAGAAAGTGGGAGCCTGCAAAGACCTTAAAAACCTCCCCAAAGTCACAGACTCCCTGCCATTGCCTAGTACGCTGCCACCATCCAAATGCACAAAAAACCCCAAAGAAAACCCCCCAAAATTTGGAAATGAGAAACAACCACTTGGGAATTTCCTCCTTTGGGGTCATCCCAAGCCCTTTAACTCTCCCTTAGGAGAGAACTTGAAAACCAATTGTAATTTCTTAATAGCGGACCTTCAGGGGGGGCTCTGCCACTGGGCGGGGGAAGGGCACCGGAGACAGATCTGTTGCCCTCTGGGTGCGTTTTGGTCCCAGCTAAGTCTGGTGGTTTTTACAGAATTGCCTTGCCAGGCCCCTCCCCCCATCTGAGAGTGGAGCTCTCCCCTGGGCAGCAAGGGGCAGGGCCAGGGGACTCATTTACCAGCTACCACAGGCTCCAGGAGGGGCCCAGGGCCACCTGGATCCTGGTCACCCACCTGCCGGCCAATGGGGAGGGATAGTTCCTGTTTTGGGGGGGATGCTTAGAGATCCTCAGAGGGGAGGTGCTGTGGACGGGCCAAGTGTCATCACTGTGCACAGGCAACCCCTGCCCATGTGGGACAGCTCTGGAGAGGGCCCTGCCTCCTATCTCATGCTCTGACTTGCACACAAAGGGAACTGAAAGAGACAAAACTTGTTTCATTTCAAAAATCTTTCCCTCTCTTCCCATTGGCTCTCCTGGCTCCCTGCCAGCACTTCCTGGGTCCCCACTGCTCTGGATTTAACCCTTTAGTTACTGACTGCTGGGATGTTTAAAAAAGGGAAGTTCCCTTCCCATCCATCACAACCCCGTTGCACTAGGTGGGTTGATATTCTAGCTCCGTGGTCACCAACCAGTAGATCGTGAGCTACCGGTAGCTCTCAGGGGCTCTAAGAGTAGCTCTTGAGCCCACTGAACTGCGGCTGCGAGTGGGCTCTGACCCGGCGGGGTGCATCACACGGAACGAGTCTGTGACGTTCACCTGCCGCGCGGAGGGGTTCTACCCGCAGGGGGCCAGTCTCACCTGGCTGGAGAACGGAAATGAGATGGATCTGGGGAAACCCTCCCGCCTGACGGAGAATCCAAACGGGACGTTCACGTTGCAGAGCTCCCTGGAGGTCAGAGCAACCGAGCAGAGGAAGGTTAGATAAATGTCTATCAGGGATGGTTTAGACAGTACTGGATCCTGCCATGAGGGCAGGGGACTGGACTCGATGACCTCTCAAGGTCCTTTCCAGTCCTAGTATTCTAAGATATTATGATTCTTGTTTATTGTTCTGCGAGTGTTCAATAAAGGACGACATTTGATCAAATACATTGTGTGCATACTTGGCAAGAAGAGCAGCATAGTTTGCTATTCTGAGTTGGAGGGTGGCTGATGAGTATGCCTTTCTGCCACATAGGTCAAGGGCCCGTGGTCACCAACTGGTAGATCGCGATCTACTGGTTGATTGCAGGGGCTCTATGAGTCGATCTTCAGCTCCCTCTGAACTGTGCACCTGCGCACTAATTTTAAATTAGTACTCTTGATTTGCGGAGCAGCTACTCACGGAGCAGCAACACAGGTAACTAGCTGTGGCAGGCTGGTGGGATCTGCTGGGTCAGGAAGGCTGAAACACCCCGGCCAGCTGCCTGTGGCATTCAGCTGGAGGAGGCTGTGCCGTGTTCCAGCTGATCAGGTGGCTTTCCCTCTGCTCCAGCCATCGTGGAGAGTGGTGCACCCTGACTGAGCGCCATGGCCAGCTAGCCAGGCAGCCGCTCCTCTTTGCTCCAGCCCAGCTGCCCTGCACTGAACCCGGGGAGACTGCACCGCGCTCCTGCTGATCAGGAAGCCCTTCATCTTTGCTCCAGCCCAGCTGGAGCGAGGCACAGCTGGACTGAAGCAAAGAGGAGCAGTTGCCCGCCCAGCTGGCCATGGTGTTCAGCCCAGGTGTACCATGCTCCACGTGGGCTGGCGCAGAGGGGAAGCTGCCTGGCCAGCTGGCTGTGGCGTTCAGCCCAGAGGAGGCTGAACTGCGCTCCAGCTGATCGGGCGGCTTCCCCTCTGCGCCTGCCCCGGAGAGCTGTGGGCCGGGTCACTGCTGCCCTGGGATGTGTTCTCTGGGAATTGTAGCCCCGCACCCAGCTGGGTCTCTTGTTTCCCAGAAGCCAGCAGGTGCTGTATTACATTGCGCACAGCTCACTCCCCTCAGTAAGTCTTTTGCCCTCCCCTTTGCAGACCAGGGATCTGGTGCAGACACCCTCCCAGCAGGGAGATGGAGAGCCCTGCAGAGGTCCCGGAGCTGGTGCAGATTTATGACGCTCGCAGTCTGCTGGCCATGGATTTCCATGGGTCCTACAAGCTCCACGCCGTTGGGTCCAGACCAGGGGCAGTGGGTAAAGGCGCAGTTGGGGAAGGCAAGCCTGAGGCCCCACCCTTTCTACCTGAGGTCCTGTCTCTTCTGCAAGTTCCCTCACATGGAGTCAAGCTCAGCCCCCACCCCAGGTTACTACCCTCAGCCCCAGCGAGTGGCATGGCCCCCCCTTCCCAGGTGGCCAGAGCACCTTGGGCAGCCACGCAGCAGCCTGATCCTTCCTAGCCAGCCAGGGAGTTGGGCTGCTGTCCTTCCCAGTGGCTGGCAGAGGACAGAGAGCACAGGCAGTTTGGAGAAGGCAATGCCTTCCCTTGCCTATGTTACCCGCCGCCCATGGTCCAGACACAATGCTGCTCCTATTTGGA